CCTTCCTACACTCTCCCCCCCCACTCTCCTTCCACTTTGTCCCTAGTGTCCATAACAATTTTCAGTGCTTTTGTGTCCTCCAATCTTTCAGTCTCTACCATAGAGTGCAGACAGTCAGTGTATGTTAAGTGGAGACATACATTGTCTCTGTTTCACAGCCTAACTTGCTTCACTCAGCAATAAATCTTCCATATCTGTCCACTTTCTATCAAATGCCAGGGTCTTCTTTATTTTATTTTATTTTATTTTTTATGAATGAATAGTATTCCATGGAGTATATGTGCCACAATTTTTCAATCCATTCACCTGTTTATGGACATTTGGGTTGGTTCCATGTCTTAGCAATCATGAGTAATGCTGCAATAAACATTGACGTACATAGCTTTGCGCAGTGGCAGTATCGTAGCCAATGAGGTTTATCCGAGGCGCGATTATTGCTAATTGAAACATTGACGTACAAGCGCTTTTCCAACCGAGTGTTCTCCTACCTTTAGGTAAATACCCAGGAGTGGAATTGCTGGATCCTATGGTAGTTCTATTTGAAGATCTTTGAGGAATCTCCATATTGTTCTCCACAGTGGCTGGATCGATTTACATTCCCACCAACAGTGTAGCAGAGTTCCCTTTTCACCACATCCCCCCCGCCCCAGCACTTATCATTTTTTGTTTAAAATCTTTTTAAAAGCCTCCATGCAAACTAGATGCAGACATAGAAAAGTGCATGTGACATGTTTTAGGCTCAGTGAACTATCACCCAGTGACCCTGTGTGCCACCACACCGGTGCCTATGATGGCCGCGTCTCCTCTGGTGCTTTTGAACTGAGATTGCAAACTTTAAGTCCTGTCACATTTATTATAGTTAAATGTATTTTCTTTCAGGAGGACTGCTGTGACTTTAAATGTTATGGTCTCTTTCTGTTGGGTTGTCAGAAAAGGTATGACTCATTTTTGCTTAGAAAAACATAGAAAAATATGTTATGACTTTTCCAACAACCTAATAACTTGGTCTTGAGGTGGCCCTGTGAAGCTCTTCTCCAAGGGAGCTGTTATCAAGAGGAGGTTGGGTTTGAGGGTGTGTGGCAGGTGAGACACAATGAGGAGGCAAGACCAAAATGCCCAAAACAGAAGAAAGTGACCGCTCCACAGGTCCCAGAGGGGTTAGGGGTGCCAAAAGGAAGTAGAGGGAGAGCCTAGAGGTGGCAGAGAGCTCACCCAGTGGATATGGAATGACGGAAGTGGGGAACCTGTGGGACTCAGCCTGTATTAAGGGCCACAGGTGTCATCTATAGATTTTCCTGGTAGTTCAAAGAAAACTAGCATGAGGACTAGACGCTGGCACGGTGGTAAAAGGCGATGATGTGGGAGGCTGACCCACATGAGAGAGTTCTGCATGCACATTCAGAGACCTCCCTGAGTCCAGGCATGCACAAGCCTACGATTGGGGCTAGCTGAAGCTGTGGGTGGATTGTGGTGTTAAGACCCTGTTAGGGTTCTGTCTCTCTCTCTTTCTTTTATGAAAAAAAAAATTAAAGAAAAGGAAACCATATATCTTGGGACAGCTTATTGACATGACTCTGACATTGACTATTAGGTTTTATCATGGTCTGCAGCTGTGGAGTATGTTGGGTTTGGAGTCAGTGAGATGAGAACCAAGTGGTCTGTATCACCCATGACCACACAGAGAGGGGAAGTTGCACTAGGCCAAGGGTGATGGGGTACTGCTGGGTTTCAAACTGCTTATCTCTGGCCTAAAAATGGATGCTTGAGGCAGCAACATTAAATCACTATGACAAGGGCTCACTTTTTAAAAAATGGAGAGAATTCATGTGACATGAAGTTCACCATGTTCAGGGGTGCAATTCAGTAGTGTCACAAACATCTGCAGCACTGTATATCCTCTCTGCCGAGTTATAGAGTGTATATAGCATCCCAAAAGGAGAACTCATACCCGTTAAGCAGTTGCTCCCATTCCCTCCTATCCTCAGCTCCAGACACCTGCTCTTCTGCTTCTTGTGTCTGTGGACTTGCTGCATCTTCTGAATGTGCATAGCAATGAGGTCATATACCCTAAGGCCTTTGGTGTCTGACTCTTTCACTGAGCTTGATGGTTTTGAGGGTCACCTAGCATGCAGCAGAACAGGCCTCGTTCTTTTTTCTTTTATGTTAAAGAGAGAGAGCATCCCTCATTGGGGATGGCCAGGCTATAAGCCCTTCTCTTTCATTTCTCCTTTCAGGACTTTGGGCACACTCATGTGCACATGTGCCTGGCATGTTTATTGAGCTGCTGGGTCTGATACTTGAACCACACAGTTGACCACATGGCATTCAGCTGCCCTAACCACCATGCCACCAGCTGGCCCTGTGCCTCATTCTTTTTATGGCCGAATCATATACCCATCATGGATAGGCCACATTTGTATACCTGTCCATCAGTTGATTGAGATTCGGGTTGTTTTTTTCTTTTGGCTAGAGTGAAAGATCCACTTTGAACCCACATTTGTTTGAAGACCAGCTTTTAGTTCTTGGGATCTATACCCAGGAGTGGGACTTCTGGATCCTATGGCGACTCTTGGCATAATGTCTAGAAGAACTGGTAGATTTCTGTCTGCAGTGGCCACAGTGCACGAGACTTCCAGTTTCTTCATATCTTTGACAACATGTGTTATTGTCTGTGTTTTTTAAAATGGATGTGAGCGTGAAGTGGTATCTCACTGTGAGGGCTTTCTTGCTTTTCCTGATTCTTTTGATGGGCAAAAGTTCTTTCTTTTATGCATATTTTTAAAAATTGCTATAGGGTGCATGCACTCACTGGAAAAGACTTGGGGGCACCCTCCCCAGGGAGGATGTAGTCTCTTCTCCATTCTCCTCTTAGGATTTTGGGGTATGCAGACACACACACCCAGTGTGTTTCTCAAGCTGCTGGGGTTGGAACTTGAACCGAGCAGTTGGCCAAGTGGAATCCAGCCACCTTAACCACCATGCTATTGGCTGGCCCACATTTTCTTCTCTCTCTCTCTCTCTCTCTCTCTCTCTCTCTCTCTAATTTGCCAGAAGGCATTGTGTGCTTGCTGGACTGAGACAGAAAGACAGATGGAAAGAGAGTCCCCTGGTGAGGCATGGTCATGCTGCAGTTTCTTCTCCATAACTCCCTTCTTTCAGGGTTGTGGGCATGCACACACATGTGCCTGATGCGTTTCTCAAGTCATTGGGGCCAGGATTTGAACTGCATGGTTGGCTACGTGGGATCCACCTCCCTTACCCACTAGACCACAGGGTCAGCCCTCATTGCATTTTATTTCAACAAGTAAATATGGTCCCCCGCTTCCCAGCCACACTTCTGAAGACAGTTTCTCTCAACAGGCCTCCACTCACTAGCCTCAACCTCCCTGCTCAGCCCACAGTGGTCGGCCTCTGCCCCACTATTCCCCGGAATCACTCACCCCAAGGTCTTGCCAGGTTTCCTCCTGACAGTCATTCAGCACTTGGCCTTCCATTCCCTATTTGATGCCCAGTTATGGTGGATACTATTTGCCATTTTTGCCTTCTTCAAACACTTCCTGACTGCCTCCCAGGGGACCCCACCACTTGGCTGATTTTTCTAACACTTTGGCTTCTTCACTAGCTCTCCCTGCACCTTGGCTCAGGGTGAGGGCATCCATCTCTGCAACGGTAGCCTCTGAAACCTGCGCTACTTCTCCCTTCTGTACCCGTTTCTCCTTCTTCTCCAAGTAGCAGGCCATTAGGTTCTAGCTCAGTTTGCCAAAAATCAATTCTGCAGAAATGACCAAGAACATACTCTCTTGAAAAAGCAATACACTTTAGGATAATTTGTATTGGAGAGCATGGTTGTAACAGCATTAGAATATTTTGGGGATGTTTTGTTTGGTCATCATTTGTCTCCTAAGAGAATGTTTTAGAGTGATGCATTTGCCTCTGTGGCTGCAGGAGCTGGAGTGGGCAGAGAGGGATCCTTGACCAAGGAAGAGATAGGGAGAAGGTCAGCCATGTTGTGGCTGGGGCAGTGCTTCCAGAGGGTTGAAGACTGGGGTACAGGAAGAGAGGAAGATGAGAATAAAAATCTTTATGAAGACATTGCTTATCCAACAAATTATTCAAGAATGCATTCAAGAATATATTTAGATCCTCTTATAAAAATATTGGTGACGAGCCTATTGGTTGATTTCATATTCACAATGAATTCTTTCATGAACAAAGGGCTGAATGGCAGCACAGCAGGAAAACACAAAGCCCTGTGAGGCTGTCCCACATGGAAAGGTTCTTGGTTTGTATCCAGAGACCTCCCTGAGTACACAAGGCATGTGCATGTCCATAATGTGGGACTGGCTGATGCTGGGGAAAATGGCAGCATGAAGACCCTATTTGGGGTGCTATCTCTCACTCTCTGCTTCTCTTGCTCACTCACTCTCTAAATGCAAGAAATAAATAAGCTTTTTAAAAAGGCAAAAAGATTGAGTTGAAGGCACAGCCACTGCTTGGATTCTGCATGTGAGACCCTGTGGACAGTGCCTGTATCTCTTCCTCCCAACAAGTAAAATAAATAAGCTTAAAAATAAAAACAGATTCTGGAACCAAGAGATAGTGTAATGGTCACATCACTGGATTCCCACATAGTCGACTGCTATTCGAGTCCTGGACCCAGCAGCTTAAAACTCACGCTGGGCACATGTGCATGCATACCAAAAATCCCAGGAGGAGAACGGAGAAAAAGGCATTGTGGTGTAGCCTTCCCCCCAGGAGGTGATTTGTTGCTTTCTGTCTCTCTGTCTCTCTCTGGAAAGCATACACACCCTGTAGCAAAAAAATCTCTATTTAAAAAAAATAATGAAAGGACTCAGCTGAAGCTCTGTCATGACTCCTCAACTTCACCCACTTGTGCCAGCCTCACTGTCCTTTGGATGCTTATCTTTTCTACGCATATTGTTATACTTTTGTTGCATATCTTTACATACACAACAGGTAGTGATGTTTCAGTAGTTTTTTTAAAAAAGAATTCTTTATTAATTTTATTTATTATTATGTTTTAATTTGCTATAGGGCACATGCACTCACCAGAGAGAGACAGAGAGAGGGAAAGTGAGAAAGCAAGCCAGGTCTAAGACTCAAACCACGGAAAACCATGTGGGAGTCCAGTGCCCCAATCACCATGCCACCCACTGGTCCCTTGCTTGTTGTGTTTTCTTAGCAGCTCTATTGAGTTATAACTTACATGTCGTAAAATGTGCCATTTTACTATATTTCTATACTTTTCAGTAAATTTACTGAGTTGAGCAAACATTACCACAATCCAGTTTTTTTGTTTAAGTAACAGCTTTATTAAGGTGTAAGTCTCATTGAAGTCACTCATTTAAAGTGTACAATTCAGTGGTTTTCAGTATATTCGTGGAGTTGTGCAACCATGAGCACTAGCTAATTCCACATTTCAGTCATCCCCAAAGCAACCAGCCCCGTTAGCGATCACTCCCCATCAGCCCTCCTCCTGGCACCCACTCATCTGCTTCTGTCCCTACACAGGGGCCTATTCTGGGCAGTTCATAGAAATGGAGTCGAACAATATGTGCTCTCTTGGTGACTGCTTAATCCCTACAAGAAGGTAGCTTTGTGGACTAACTACTGCATGCTACACCCTGCTCCGAGGCTATGTGTGCAATTTCAAACGCAGATATAACTTTCCATTCTTCTCCCTATCACTTCTACTCTATGGCTGTTTCTGTACAGTGTCACACAGGAGTAACTACATATAAAATATATGTACACGAAGATCGGTGTGAGGCCGGTGTGTGTCCCTGGCAGGCCTGGAGGAGGAGGCAGGCTTTGACTGGAGCCTGGGGAGGGAGGAGCCCAGCCTAGACCAGGGCAGGACCGCCCACTGTTGGCCTGAGCTCTGGGCAGGTACTGAGGGAGTTTGCTTTCTCTTTTGCTCCAAAGACAAACAGTGGTGGAAGAACAGGTGAATGAGCACCTGCAGGGGCACCTGGACGAGATTTACCACCTCAAACAGAACCTGGCCTGCACTGAGGAGAAAATGGCCTATCTGTCCTATAAGAGAGCCAAGGAGATATGGGTGAGAGTCCTGGGGGCCTTTGGAGTCAGGGCCAATGGGAAGGGTGTGGGGAGGAATAAATTGGCCTGGGCACCCCCAAGCCAAGAGCCAGATCCACAGCTGGGCCACTCCTGAGGGTTCAGTGGCTCACTCGATCACCTTCTTTGTGTTCTCGCCCAGCTCCCATCACCCCACTTGGCTGCTTTGGGAAGTGCTGCTGTGGTTCTCACCCTGGAGGGCACCTCAGAGCCATCCAGAGGACTTGTCCCAGCACTGTCCCCCGAGGATGCTGATAACTACTGCTAGCCCTGCTTTAAACCTGGCTCCCTTCCGCATGGCTCCTGCTCCTGTCCTTCTTAGCCCAGCCCAACCATCTCAGAGATGACAGGTGTAGGCCCTCCATGGGTGCCCCCTCTGCTCCGCGTGTTCTATCCTGAATAGTTGGCTCCACCATAATTGTCGCACACTGTGCAGGCATGCGGTGAGATGTACACAGTCCCTCTGCTGAGCACATACATTTGTGTTGCCTGCAGGAGGTCATGGAGTCTTTCCGGTCATGGAGTCTTTCCAGAACCGGATAGCTAAGCTGGAAGTGCTGCAGCAAATCGCCCAGCTGCAGATGACAGGGTGCCTCAGGAGCCGGCCTCAGGATGTTCTGTTCAGACTCACAAGCCTACTCTTCATGCTGGCCACTGTCCTTCTGGCCTCAGTCTCCACCATGTGTGCCTACCTGTTTCCCCTGGCCAACTCGCGCCTGCGCACGGGCACTGTGCTCCTTCTGCTTGGGCTCATGGCCCTGGCCTGGCAGAAGTGGCATGCCATTGCCACTGCTGACTGGCAGGCCTGGGTGCTGTACAGGTGGAGACTATATTCCAAGGACTCCAGGGCTCCATCAGATGGACCTTGCAGGTCAGGAGGGCCAGCCCAAGTCTGCCATCTGCTCCCTCCTGTGGGTGTTCAGGGTGTCCAGTAAGTCCCCATGGTGTTTGGATCCCATAACCCTCAGCCCAGTGAGGATGTCTGCAGACACCCACCTGCCACACACTTGTCTGCCATGACCCTTCCATGCCATCTGTAGACACAAGGCTTGGAAAAGATTAAAGTCTCTGAAGTGCACTGTCCTCTGTATCTCCTCGCACCCTCTCAAGACCCAGTGCCTGAACACTGGGAGGCTGAGGTGGCCCCCACTGCCCCGGCAGCCTCTGTGACTTTGTTGATTTTGGCAAAGAGAAATTACATTTATTTCATGGGGATGGAGAAGAAGGGGGGAGGAGAGGTGGCCAAAGCCCCGGCAGGTGGGACAGGTAGGAGGAAGACCTCATGCAGGTGACACCGAAGAGACAGAAGAGGCCTCTGTTCTGGAGGCGCTGGAGAGTTCAGAGCTGTCGTCAACCTTCTTCCCGAAAAGCTGCAAGATGCAGTTTCGAAACTGGAAGGACAGAATACGTCACTCAGGGGGCAAGAAGGGCTGGCATGTGGCACTAAGGATCAGGCGTGGGCATTGACTGAATGTCACCCAGGCTTAGCACCTTCCCTCCTCCCACTCAGAGTCCTGGTGGGTGAGGGACACTCAAGTTATTCCTTGCATATGGTTGGTCATCTAAGATGTCTGCCTAAGATGGTGACTATAGTAGGCCAAATTGAGCCCACCAGAAAGAGGTGTTCAGGTTCTAACCACTGGGACCCGGGTAGTGTCCTTGTTAGGACCCACGTCTTTGCCGATGCAATCAGTATAGAAGTTAGTTAAGATGAGGCCATCCTGGCTCAGGTGGGCCCTCGTGCAATGCCTGCTATTCTTAGAGGAAGATGCAACTTTGGATGCAGAGCTAGACACAGGACAACGGCCACATGAAGATGAAGATAGAGATGACAGTGATAGACTTCTGAGCTAGGGAACGCCAAGGACTGCTGACAACCCCCAGAAGCTGGGAAGGGCCTGTGACAGCTTTGCCTCCCGGGGTAACCAACTTTGCCAACACCTGGGCTTCTGGGGGAGGATTCATTCCCACAAAGCCTGTGGCAGTGTGTTATGGCAGCTCCAGGATATTCACCTGGTAGTCACACACAGTGCCAGGTAAAGGGCCCACACTGCCTGCAGTGACCATTTCCAGAATTTTTGGCAAGAGGCTCAGAGGCATGTAGTGAAAAGGAATATGATTGGCATCTTTCTAACCTCCCTTTTTTTTTTTTTTTTGCTATGCATGTACTTGCTGGAGAGAGACAGCCAGAGACAGAGAGAGAAGGTGAGAAATCACCTTCCAAGGAGAATGGCCACACCACAGTCCCTTCTCCATTCTCCTTTTGGGGTTTTGGGCATGCATGCACACACACCTAGCATGTTTTTCAAGCCACCAGGTCCAGGATTTGAGCCACAGAGTTAGCCAGGTGAGATCCAGCTGCCTTAACCTCCATGCCACCTGCTGGCCCATGTCATCTCTATTCCAGCCCATCAATTTGGGGGCAAGTTGACCAGGCAAACCACAGCTTAATCCCCTACCTCATCTCTTAGCTCAGTCTTCCAGTACCAGGAGATGTCTGCTCTTTGCTGTTGACCCGTGAAAAGATTCAGGCAATATTGACTTCTCACGTTATGTCTTGTATCATCACTAAACCAACCACAATGCTCTGAGAAACCAGACCAGAGGATTTCCTAAATATTTCAGGTCTATTCTTCACTGCCTCCAGCTCCCTCTAGCTTTCAGATTCTCACAGATAGGAAAAAATTAATAACATAAAAGATGGGCGAAATAGCAGAATCGACCCAGCCGAAGAGCAAGCAGATAAGGTTGAGAAATTCATACAACAGATTTGTTTTCATTGCCAGAGAGAGAGAAAGAACCCCCCAATGGCACATGGTCATACCACAGCCCTTTCCCCTCCATTCTTCCCTCCCCTCAGGATATTGGGCATGCATGCATCCAGAGTTTTCTCCAAGCTGCCAGGGTCAGGGCCTTAACTGCATTTGGCCATGTGAGTTCTGGCTCCCTTAACCACTGGGCTACAGGGCCAGCCCACCAAATTTATTCAATACCTACTTATTGAGCACCCACTTTGTGCCAGACTATGTTCCAGGGGTATACAAAAGGCAAAATTTTCTGTCCTCGTGCAACTGAATTCCAGATAATACTCTCAGAATACAGCAGGACAGGGTCATAATGTGGAAAGGATGAAAGCAAAGTTCAAGAGCCTGGCGAGGTCCAGAAGTAGATGCCTGTCTAGGAAGGGGAATTCCTGAAGGGAGAATGGAAAGAATGAAGACAGACAGTACTTGGCAAGATAGTTTGAGGATTCTCAAAATAAGATCTAAAAAGAGGTCCTTCTGAGACAGGAAATGGGCCAGCAGTAGAACTCCACTGACTGGGTGTCATCGCCTGACAGCAGCGCTCCTACTTACTATTCAACGTCTTCAGGAGGAATGCGTGGTTAATGAGCTCTACAGACCTGAGGCCAAGGGGGTGGGGCCACGAGGTGGCTGTGAAATGGGGAGCAAAGACAAGCTGGCTGAAAGGAATGGCTTTGACCTGGTGAAATGGGAGGCCTCTGCAGACCTATCACCACGGAGTCACACTGCAGCTGCGCCGTGATGGAGTCAAGGAAGGGGAAGGCTGGCTGCACTCGGAAGATGACAGACCTCAGGAGAACACCTGTAACCCACCCGGAGGGTCTAGGAGTCCTGGGCAACTTGCGGTTGGGCGCCAGTATGCCAGCTAATGAGGGCTGCCAGCAGACAAGACCTTGGATGTGTCCACTAACCCATGAACTTAGGAAAGTGCTTGAACTCTTGGTCAGCACAGCCTAGAAGGGCGTGATTTTGTTCTTACAGGAAGACAGGTTTGAGAAGGTAGCCATTACAGCAGTTAGCATAATGGCTATATCTCTGGACTCCCATGTAGTTGAGTGCAGTTTGAGTCCTGGACCTGGTAGCTTAAACTCACACCAGGTGTGTGTGCATGCATGCCCAAGATCCCACTATGCCAGCAGGAGGGGCATGCCAGGGTAAAGCAGGATGTGCTCAGGAAATGCTAGATCGCCTGAATTCCAGGCGAGACCCTAGAGCCTGATGGCTTTGGTTGCGGGCCTGCCACAGGGAATGATAGAAAGAAGCAAGCAAGAAAGGACTTGGCAAAATAGTTTTAGGAACCTCAACACCAAGGTAGGCCCTGGAAGGAGATCCCTGTGAGACAGGGAACAGGTCCGCGGCACATGGACACTTTGAGGAACACCAGTCCTAGGCCAGGAATACAAAAGGGACCCGAAGAGAGTGCCAAGCCTGCTACTGATGACCAGTGGCAGTCTGGCGGGGGGCAGGGCGGCGGGCTGAGTCTTTTCCCGATCATAGTCCTGGAGGGTCATTACCGGGAGCCCAGCACTCTGCAGGCTCCTCCAAGTGGGAGTCACACTGGCTTCTTCCCGATGTACTTCGAGTTGGGCCTGCCGATGGCCTTACTTACCTGACGGTTCATAAAGACATAGATGATGGGGTTGTAGATAGTGGCACTTTTGGCGAAGTAGGCTGGCAGGGCGGCCAGCAGAGGGTGGAAGGCGTAGCCAGGGTGGGCAGCAGCAAAACATGCAAAGAAGGTGGAGGGGCCCCAGCAGACGCAGTACGCACACACCATGACTACCACCATGCGTGTCACCTCCTTCTCAGCCTTCTGAGTGGACTCGGACTCTTTCTGCTGCTTTGCCACCTGGGTGAGACAGGGACAGTGCATGGAGGAGTTGCCCAGCTTCCACCCAAGCCCAGGCGTAGCATGGTCCAGGAAGACTGAGTGGCCCTCTGGCTGGTCTTGGGGAGTCCTGTAGACTTCGAGGGAGCAAGCTGCTGGGCCTGGCCTGAGATGCTGCCTGGTATCAACCTGGCAGGAGCTCAGGACAGGGAGCTGAGAAGGCCGCTCTACTGAGAGGCACCTGTCCTTTCTCTGAGTGTGCCTGCCTGTGCCCAGGTCTGAGTGTGCAGTCCAGGCACAGCTGGACGAACTAGTACGGTAGGAAAGGGGAGGGTGGAGGTGAAAGCACCCAGCAGGATACCCAGCAGCAGTGCCAGGGGCAACAAATACCATTCCCTTGGGCTCCCTGGACTGGTGCTGGCAGGTGTCCAGACACCACCCTCCCTGGACTCACTGTGAGCCATAAGTGCTCCTTCTGATGGGAACTAGGGGAGGGCCAGGCCAGTGGGGCCAGGGCCATGTTCTGGAGCTTGAACTCCACCAGCCTAGAGCTAGCAGGGCTAAAGCCACAGTTGGACACCTCTGGCTCTGGCAAGGTCCCGGCAGCTGACAAACGGCATGTCTGCATCAAGCTAATTGCAGGGCAGTCGACTGACAGCCACCTTGTGGTGTGGAGGTAGGGGTGCTACAATGGGTAGCCCAGCTCAAGGTCACTGGTGGTGGTTGCGCACAGAAGGGTGGAGAGAGGGAATTGCACACTCGTGTCCACTCCTTGACCTGCGAAGGGAGTAGGGTTCTCCAGCGGTGGCCTTTAAAACACCCCTGGATTTGCAGGGTTTATTTACTTCTCCAGCCATCCTCTCATTCCCCACCTCCGAGAGAACAGCCCTGGTCCAGGGCAGAGGCACAGTACCGCCATCTTATTGGACATCCTGGAGGGGTGAGGATAAGGGAGCTGGGCTCAAACTGCAGCCAGCAGCAGGAGCCTGGGTCGTGCCATTGAAGCTGATGTTTTCCAGGGGCGGAACCCTCCTGTCTGCGGATTTCAACCATCATCTAGGAGCCTCGGTGACAGGTCTGGGGGCAAGGGAGTGCACATCCCTCCAGGCTGGGCTAGGCCAGGCAGGCACAGGCTTACCGCTCGGATGGCCAGCCACACTTGGAGGTAGCAGAGCACAATGATGCTGAGTGGGATGATACAGCAGGTGACCATGAGAACTATCATGTAAGACTGCACCCCGGGGTATGAGCTGCCGCTGAACACGTCCGGACCACACGATGTCTTCAGGCCGTGAGGCCAGTACCTGTGGAGAAGGGCCGGAAGCCCATCCTGATGCAAGGTGGGGCAGCCTGGGACCCCTCAGCCCCTTGGGTGGGCTTTTTAAAATTGAGGTGGAACTCACATTGCATAAATGTAGCCATTGTGAAATGAATTAGTA